GGTTTTGAGCAGTTCGACCATACTGTGCTTTGATATGGGTCTCACATTTCTTGTGTGTGAGCCTTGCTGAGCTCTTTGAATCTACTAGCTTATACTTATCAGTAAGCTTGAAGTTTTTTTATTATCATTTCTTCCATTTTCTTTCTGTCTAGCCCTTTATTACATATGTAGTAGGCCACTTGAACTTGGTTGCACATTTCAGCAGCCCCTTGTTCATTTATTCTTACTCCCTTTTCCTTGTGTACCTCATTTTAGATAGCTTCTATTGTTGTACTCTACATTCACTAATCTTTTATTTTACAATGTCTGATTTACTATTAATCACATCTAGTGCATTTTTATCTCTGATATTACAGTTTTCATCTCTATAGTATGATTTGAATGTTTTGTATTTGCCATATTTCCATTTAAATTTCTGAACATAGGGAATAAACTCATAATAATTATTTTCTCATCTTTATCTGATAATTACAGTGGCTGTCTCAATTCTAGGGCTAGATTTGGTTGGTTGCTTCATCTCCTAATTATGGTTAATAATTTTTTTTTTACTTTTCTTTGCTGATAATGTTTTACATTTTTAATTCTTGTTTGTTTTGTGGCACTGGAACTTGAACCCAAGTCCTCCCACATGTCAGGCAACCAATCTACCACTGGGCTATATTTTTAAAAACTTTAATAATAATAATAATTTGACAAGCTCTTACTAAATTGCTCAGGTTGGACTTGACCTTGCGGTCCTCAGCCTTAGCCTCCTTGAGTAGCTGGCATGCACCACTATGCCTGAATTAACTAGTAACTTTTGATTGTACGTCAGACATTAACAATTTTACCTTTAAAGGTGTTGGATATGTTTGCATCCCTATATATATTTTTTTGTATCCCTATACTCTTGAGTTTTATGCTGGTATGTTGTTAGCTTATTTAGTAATGATGTGATCTTTTCAAATCTTGTTTTTAAAATACATTAGGCAGTGTTGTCTCTGTGATTAACTAGTCTCATACCTGAGGCAAACCTGACTGGCTACTGTTATGCCACATGAATTTGGCTGGAGGGAAAAGCCATCATTCCCAGTGGTGTGAAAATACCAGGAATTATTCCCTCTGTTCTCTTTTATGGCACTATCTACTGAGTACCCAGCTAAATCATTAAGGGGGCCTTCCACAGGTCTCTGAAATTTTGTGCGGTTTTCTACTCTCCAGTAGTCTGTCTTGTGACCTCTAGGTACATTGATTTCCTGGACTCTCAGTTCCACTGCACAGCTCAGAGAGTCCAACAAGCTCTATCTCCTGTGTGGAGGCCTGAAAACTCTCTGAAGGAAGAAAGCTGCGCAATTTGTATAGCTCACTGTCTTTTTTCTTGCCTCTCAGTGATCACTGTCTTTTGTTTCTTTTTTCTTTGATATTTCACATCACTCATTCACATTTAGTACTTCATCCATTCCTCAATTATTTCATGCAGGAAAGTAAATATGGCCAGTTACCTCACCTTGGGTGAAAGTGGAAGTCTGTTCTTGTTTTATTTATGCATGAAACTTTCCATCAGGAAAACAAATTAAGAAAATAAAAAGGAAAAGAAATACATACTTGGGTTTTGTGTTTCATTTTCCCTATTCTTTCTCAAATCCACCCTATTCTTTTCTGGCAGTACTACTGAAACCATATTCTTCAAGGACCACCAATTCTCAGTCCTCATTTTGCTCACCAAGTTTATGAAATAATCACTCCCTTTATCTTGAAATCATCTCTTCCCTTCTTATCCAAGATAACAAACAAATTCTCTGGATTTTTGCTCTCGGCCTCTCTTTTGTGGTATTCTCTAACCTTTAAATTTCATAGTGTCTTATGATCCAAATTCAGATGTCTTCTCTATTCATTCTCCTTCTTTTATCCATGTCATGAAAACTGTATGCCACTCACATCTTCAGCTCTTTTTTCTCACGTAAAATAGATATAGGTATAATTTTCTGCTTGTTATTTCCGTAAAGTTTTCTAATAGGCATTTTAAACATAGTATGCACAAAAGAAAATTCTTGATTTTTTTCCCTCTTGACTGGGTCTCTTTCCTCAGAGTTCCTCATCTTAGTAAGTGGCAACAGTATTCACTCAGTTGCCTAGTTCAAAATCTATAATCACCCTTAGTTCTTCCATTTTGTTCACACTCCATATATGACCCCTCTGCAAATCCAGGAAGCTGTATCTTCAAAAGCCAACTACTTCTTGCCAATTCTATGCTAATTTGTTCTAAGCTAATTTCATTGTTTTAAGCTAATTTCATTAGCTTACATTGTTCTAAGCTAATTTCATCGTTTTGTGGACACTAAATTGGCTCCTTGACTACTGTCTCTATAATGTATTCAGCATAGAACAGCCATAGTGTTACTTTTAAAATATAAATCATTCCAGTTGAGATTTTTTATCAGAAATTTGATGACCCTATTCTAAATTCATGTGGAATTTTAAAGGATTCTGTGTAGCCAAAATAATCTTGAAAAAGAAGGACAAAAAGAACTTACACTTCTCAATTTCAAAATATTTTACAAAACTGAAATTACCAAGACAATATGGTACTAGAATAAGGATAAATATATGGGTCAATGGAATACAGTTGTGGCCAGATGTAAACCTACATATCAACAGTCAATTTTCAACAAGGGCATTAAGACAATTCAATAGTGGAAGAATAGTTTTCAACTAACAATGTTGGGATAACTACACATCCACATATCAAATAATGCATTTGGACCTTACCTCACACCACTTATACTAATTAAGTCAAAATAGACCAAAGGCCCAAGTATGAGAGCTAAAACTATAAAACTCTTAGAAGAAAACATAGGTGTAGTATAATCTTCATGCCCATAGATTAGGCAATTATTTCTTAGCTAGGACATCAAAAGCAAAAACAAAGAAAAAATAAATAAATACAGTTTCATCACAATTAAAAAACTTTGATGACAATGACCAAGAATGTGGCTGATATGACCAAGTCAACCCACAAAATGGGAATAGGTATTTTTAAGTCACATATCTAATAAGACTTAAGAATTGAAAATACATAAATAACTCATAATGCAACAGTGGAAAGATATAATTCAATTTAAATGGGGAAAGGATTTTATTCTAGTCAGTCCTGTGCTACAAGAGATTAGGTAATTTATATCAAAGGAAATCTATTGGTTCGTAGTTCAAGCAGCTTTGAAGTCCACTATCAAGTGTTCAGCACCCGGCCAAGTCCTTCTTGCCATTTTCCCCCTGGTTGAAGGACAAAGAGAAGTTAAGAGAGAGCAAGAGGGTGTTAATATTGTCCTTTTATAAGGAATTTACATCCACAATAACATCACTAATACATTCATGAGAGCTGAGCTTTCACGGCCTAATCACTCTCAAAAGTTCCATCTCCTAATACTGCCACCTGATCAAGTTTCCAGTACATGAACTTTGAGGGACACAGCCAGATTCAACCAGACATTTTCCCATAGATACACAGCTAACCAATAAGCACATGAAAAAATGCTCAACTTCATTATGTCCTAAGGAAACGCAAAGCAAAACAATAATTGGTTAGCACTTCACACATAGAAAAGCCTTTAATTAAAAAACAAAATAATGAGGATTGGTGAGAATGTGAAAAATTGGAATGCTTGTACATTGCTGGTACAGATGCTTTGGAAAACATTCAGTAGTTACTCAAAAGATTAAGTAAGGAATTATCATATTATCCAACAATTCTATTACTTAATTATAGACCCCCAAAGAAATGAAAACCTATACTCACACAAAAATTTGTAAATAAATGTTCACAGATGTATTATCTATAATAGCCAAAAAGTGGAAGTGACCCAAAGATCCATCAGTTGATGAATGGGTAAGCAAAATATGTTATAACCATACAGTGAAATATTATTCAGATATAAAAAGGAATTAAACCCTAACAAATGCATGAACCCTAACAATGACAATGAATGAACACAAATGCTAACAATGAATGAGCTCTGAAAACAGTATTTCAAGTGGCAGAAGTCAGACGCACATGATCCTACATGGTATGATTCCATATATATTAAATGTCCAGAATAAATAAATACATAGAGACAAGAAATAGATTAGTAGTGTTGGGGCTTAAGAAGAGAAGAATTGGGACAGATTAGTGATGGGTCTAGTAAGGGGTTTATTTGGGGGATGATGAAATATTCTGGCATTATACAGTGGTGACAGTCAGATGACCCCGTGAGTACAAAAACTGCTGAATTATATTTGTCAAAGGGGTCAATTTTAGTCTGTGAAATATACCTCATTTTAAAAATAAAGTGTAAACCAGATCCTGTTATCACTGTACACAAAACCTCTAATGCAGTGATACAAACCTTTTAGCGCTTTCAGCAACACACAGCCCACTGTGGCACACATCCACAAGTACTCACTAGTGACTTCCCATCACGCTTAAAATCCAGTCTTTTTTAGCCTATAAAACTCTAAATTACCTGGCCCTGACTCCCTCTGCCATGCTTTTGCCTGTCACTCCTCCCATCCCTCACTGCTGCTGGGCCCTCCTTGCTATTCCCGGGCCTAGCCCTGCCTCAAGCCCTTTGCACTTTCCATGTCTTCCCTTGGGGTGTTTGTTCTCAAGATCTTTACATGGCTCATCCTGGAAGCTGTTCAGCTGTCATTTCTTCTAAAAGACCTTTTCCTATCATCTAAAGTAACAGTGGCACACCCAAGGGAGGTGGCACAAGTCTATAATCCAAGCACTTGGGAGGCTGAGGCAGGAGGATCGCTGCCTTGAGTTCAAGGCCAGCCAGGACATGACAAGACTCTGTCTCAAAAACAAAATAAAATAATAGTGGCATCATTTTCCAGCCCTTTCTGTTACTTTATTGTTCTCTCTAGCATTTCCTATTACCTGCCATTGTATTATTTATCTATTTGTTTATTGTCTGTCGCTCACTAGAATATAAACTTTATTTTTTTGGGGGGGGTTTCTTCCGGTACTGGGAATCGAACTCACGACCTCGCGCTTGCCAGTCAGGTGCTGTGCCGCTGAGCTAAATCCCCAGCCCCCTAGAATATAAACTTTATAAGTAAAGAGATTTTTCTTGGTCTCATTGAATTCCATACCTATTTTCTGTGCATGAGACCTAACATGTGCAGAATTTTATTTGTTGAGTGAAGTAATGAAGAGGAGAATACACACAATGAGATGAAAAAGATATTTTAATACAAAATGATTGCAACTGCTTTGCTTTTAAAGGAAGCATAGAGTAATTTCTATTAGTTGGAAAATAAGGTTTATGTCCACTTAAAATCAATACAGTGGTACCTCAATTCATGAACTTGATTCTTTCCACAATTCTGGTAGCAAACCGAATTGGACAAGAATAAATCAAATTCAGTGGTTAGGTTCAATGTTGACCTTATGGGGGGAAATTTGATTTGCTTCTCATCCAGTTAAGTTTACTACCAGAATTGGGGAGAAAATTAGGTTCCTAAGCCGAGGTACCACTGCACTTGAAAGAAAAGAGTCAAAGTTTCAAACCTGTTGCAATACAAGTCTTGAAAGACCTCATGTAACATCTTTTTCTTTTTATGGAGATAGGATTTTGGATATACCAAGCTGAGACGGATATATGAGACTAAACTGCTTTGTCTGATGAAGAGTAAAAATGTAATTTCGTTGGAAAGTCTAGAGGAAAAAGCCCTAAGAAATCAAAACTTAGGGTTCTACAAGAAATCAGGGCTCCACATGAGTTGGAAAGACAAGGGGAAAACAAGCAACAAAAGGGGAGACTAAAGTTGGAGAAAAAGATGTCTGGTGAGATGGGAAACAGATGATATGTCAAACGAGAACAAGAGCTGAGAGCCACAGTATCCCCAGGAAGAGGATGGAGGGAACTCAATCCCAATTTCCCTAAAAGATGACCTCAGCAGACACACCCAAGGAACAAAAAGAGCGATATGTAAGTAGAATCTGCATTTCTACCCTTTCCTCCCTGCTATGAAACAGACGGGAATAATCACAGCCTCCCATCGGGAGAAACATTTGATGTGAACGGCACCCTCTGCAGTGTGCAGTGACACGTGTGAGGCTGTGAAGTAACGCTGATAACAAAGGCGAGCATCCACCTCTGCTCGATGTGTTAATTATAAGAAAGGCTACAGATGTAGACATCCCACTGTTGGAGCAGGGCGGCTGAGCTGCGGATTGCTCACACGTGCTGGCCCAGAGCGGGGAGGACGGGGGGGGCACTCAGAGGGCACAACTGTTCAGAGGTGAACAGTATTCCAACGCCCAGAACACGAAGCAAGAGAGGTGAGCTAGTTGTTAGGCAAAGGGGTTTCCCTTGACCTCAACCTGCTGAGTGTATAAATAAATGCACTGCAGTAGGTGAACAGTTCTTTTGGCCAACAGGAGAGAGCTCCACCTGATCCCAGCTCTCTGTATCCTGTCTTCATTTCTTCACCTTCTCTCCGCCCTTCATGATCCTCACACTCCGGGAAGTTCGAGAGCAGTGCTGGATATGGCATCCTACCTTTAGAATAAAAAATATAAAAATAAATTAAAAATGAAGTGCTGTACTACTCAATTTTATCCAAGGCTGTTCCTGTTAGGATTTAGCTAGATAGTCCAATGCTTTGGGCATGACGTTATGTAGGTACAGCATTGGACTGAATATAATAGCCTTTAAGGAATTGTTTTTATTTCTTATTGTCAATACATTTAAAATTAAGCACACAAAACAGCAAGGAATAATCCAACTTAGATCAGCATTTTTTTCCCCTTGGAAACAAACCTCAAAACAGTGATATTTCCTAATTCCATTCCTAACATTTGGGCAAGAAAGTATCTTATAATGGAGGGAGTGCAATGTGTGAATACTGGTCTCCACCGAAGTCTAGCCACTCTGAACTGATGACACTTAAAAGAATCATTACTCCAAATTAAAAATCCTCTCTATGTATAAAAATGGCCCTAGGTTTAATTTAAATTTTAAAAAAATTGAAAGAGGCTTCATTCTTAAACTATGGCCTCGTTTCTATTTATTTCTTATAACAGACCAAGGTAGAAATTAAGCAGCAAATACATAGCTCAAAACGCTGCAGAAAGCTATTTTTTCACAATCTTCCCACAGCTTAAGTAAACATGAAACATTATAACTAGCTACAGTCAGATACTACAGGAAATAGCCCAAAGGAAAAGCCTCAAACACCCAGTCTTTATCTTCCTCCTAAATGAAATGTACTTTTCCTCATTTTCAGCTGCCTTCACAAAAGCTGTCCACTGGCAAGGGCAAGTAACTGCCTTATTTCAAAGACCATGAGACTCAAAGAAGTCAGCTAACATGCATGAGATTACAGAGCTAATAAATGGTAGAGCTGGGCCTCAACCCCGCGGCCTATCTTTCTCCTCAATAAACACAGGTATTTTGAAAAAATAATTTATGGTCACTTCTAATTGTTTACCTCCCAGCCACCATTTACTCTCTAGTTCATTTCAGTCGGACAGTCCCTTTACTCCCGAACACAAACGTTTTTGATTTTTTGAGAGGTGGCTTAAGGAACGCAGATTTTCCTCAGTCAAGGGGTACTGAGATTTATCACTGCTCCGAAAGTAGGTGTCCCCGCAAGGGCTGTTGTCAGAACGCATTAACAATCATCTGTAGAAAAAACTCAGAAAGTAAGTATCCCGGCGCAACTGTAACAAATCACAAAACTCCCCAGATAAAGAATCTGGTAAAGCGCGCACGGGTTTGCACGGTGAAACAGCAGAAAGTCAACTGTACAGTCTTTTAATTCTCCAATAAAATCTCCGTGAAAACGTGAATAAATTCGCCACACTAATAAAAGCCAAGAGAAGAGCGCTCTGGCAACTCCGCAGACAAAGATGACTCGGAGGCCGGCAGGGCGCCACCTGCGCGGAGCCTGCCCGAAGGGGCCGGGGCCCAGCGCGGAGCAGCCGGGGCTGGCACACCGGAAAACTGGACAGATGTCTCTCTGTGATGGCCTGTTGCGTTCCAACCCCATCACCGTTTCGAGAAAAATATAAACTATTCCCCAAACCTTGCTAGGAAGCCCCAAACCCTACCCCACCTTAACCTTATCTCAGACCGCCAAGCCACTAACACTCCGGAAACGCGAGGCGGACCGTAGGGCGGCGCGAGCAGCGGCACGCTGCATCCTGGGAGTTGTAGTCCTCGCTTAGAATGCGCAGGCGCGCTGGTGAAGGCGTTGGGTTGCGGGGCAGCAGAGCCCGCTGGGATTGTAATTTTTTTGTGAATGACAGAGGTTGAGGGTTTTGTAAAGTCAGGATGTGCGGAAAGAGACCTCACTTTACACAGAAAGGGTGATCTCGATGAATACAGTACCTGGCATACTAAAAGACTTGGTTTGGGAATAGCTTGTGACAGCCTCTATTTAGTTGTAAATCTGAGATGGATAGAGATAGCCCCCAAGTGGACAAAGTAAGACGAAGACCAATCCGCGTAGTCTGTTTACAAATAGGCTATGGAGCTACGGTACAATACTGTAGACTCAAAGAAGGCCGTCCCAAACTCAGAGAAAGTGTAGTTCTCACCATCATTCTGGCTATGAATAGAAGAACGTTTGTGAAAATTGTTGGCTTCTTCCAAAAACATACCAATATTAATTTTCTTTCAATGAGGGGATGGCATTTTCTACATTTTTATGTATTTTCTTGTTTACAGGGACAAAGTATTCCTTTTTAGTATAAAACACTTCACGTACAAATAAAAGCATGTAGAGCAATTTTCTAGCATACTGGTATCTACCACAATGCTGACATATTTACTTTATTTAGTTCCTTGCTTTCTTCTCCTTTTTTTTTCTTTCAAGAAGGAGAAGGAGGAAGTGGAGAAAGAAGATTCTTAAAATACCTATATTCAGTTGTTTGTTGCTGATATATCAAAATGATATTGATTTTTTAAAAATGTTAATCTTCTATCCTGGGTTTCTGCTTAACTCATTATTTCTGGTAAATTTTTCAGATTCTAAGAATCTGAATTTCAGATTCTTTTCATATGGGCAACCATATCATCTGCGTAGAGGCAGTTTTACTTCTTTCTTTTCCAACATATGTGTTTCATACATTTTTCTTGCCTTCTTGTAACAGGTAGTATGCCCATGAATATACTGTTGATCAGCGAGTGGATATCCTCAACTTATTCCTTTTCTATTAAGAGAAAACCACTCAAGTCTTTTGCCACTGAATATGATGTTAGCTATAGATTTTTTTTCTAGATGTCCTTTGTCAGGTTTAGAATTTTCCATTCTGTTTTTAGATTTCTGTAAGTTTTTTTTATGTGAATGTTAAATTTTGTTATTTTTGGCATTTATTGAAATGATTGTGTTTTTTTCTTCTTCAGTTCATTGATATGAAGAATTACATTTTTTTATTTTTAGATGTTGAACTGGCCTTGTAATTCTAGGATAAACCCATTTGACTATCATACGTTATCACTTTCAGTCACTGCTAGGTGTTATTTGCTAACATTCAACAAGCTATTATTTCTGTGTTTATGAAGGATATCAGTATTTTGTTTTCTTTTTCATAAAGTCTTGTTCTTGTTTTCTGTCAAGGTAATATTATCATAAAGTTAATTAGAATATGTCCTCTTCTATTCTCTTGAATAAAATTTTTTGTATAGAGTCAACATTATTTTCCACCAGTAATGACATCTCTAATGGTTAGTTTTATGTGTAAAATTAGCTAGGCCACAATACTTAGGTATTTGGTTAAATATTATTGTAAATCTTTCTGTGAAGTTTTGTTTAGATGAAATTAACATTTAGATGAATAGATTTACAGCAAAGCAAATTACTTTCTATAATATGGGTGAGTTTCATCAAATAAGGCATTAATAGAAAGCAATACTGACTTTTACAGAGTATGAAGGGAATTCTGTCAGCCAATTAGTCTTGAACTTGAAAAGCAAATCTTTCTTGATTCCCTATCCTGCTGTCCTAGCCCACAGATTTTGAATTTACTAATCTCTGAATTTAAGTGAGCCAAGCCCTTAAGCTCTCTCCCCCTTTCCCCTGCCCCTCCCTTCCTTGATCTTTCTCCCCACCTTCTCCCTCACCTTCTCCCTCTCTCTCTCTCTCTCTCTCTCTCTCTCTCTCTCTCTCTCTCTCACACACTCTCACACACACACACACACACACACACCTAGTTTTGTGTCTCTGAATACCCTAATTTATCATCTAAGCATGGAGCTTTAAGATGAAACATTTTCAACTACAAACCAATTTCTTTACTATTTCCTTTTGAGTGAGCTTGAGTAGTTTCTATTTTTCAAAAAATTTGTCTACTTATCTTTCTTAGGAATTTACGAGGAACTGGAGATACAGCTCAGCAGCACAGCACCTGCCTGGCAAGTGTGAGGTCCTGAGTTCAATTCCCACTACCAAGAATTTATGAGCATAATGGTATTTGTAATAGTCTTTTATAATCTCATTAACATATACAAATTCTAATGTATAATAATGTTCCATCTTTTATTCTTAATATTGGTCAATTTCTCTATCCCTGTCTCTGTCTCCTCTCTCTCTCTCTTTGTGTGTGTGTGTGTGTGTGTGTGTGTGTGTGTGTGTGTGTGTGTCTTTAATCAGTCAGGCTAGAAGCTTGAAAAATGTATTGATTTCTTTAAAAAACCAAGTTTAGTTTAATTCATTTTCTCACTTTCTATTTCTATCTTATCAACTTGTACTCTCCTTTTATCCCTTCCATTTGCTTGGGTTCAATTTATTTTTTTGTAGTTTCTTTAAGTGGAAGCTGGGATCATTTTTTAAGCCCTTTCTTCTTTTCTAATATAAGCATTTAATGGTATAAATTTCTCTTTGACCATTGCTTTGGAGCACCTCATTAATTTTTATTTTTTTATTTTCATATTCATTCAATTTGAATCATTTTTTAAGATTCCTTACAACTTTTTTGACTCATGGGATATTTAAATCATTTCATTTAGTTTATAAATATCTTTCTTCGGGCCATTATACATTTTGAAAAAATTGATCAGTTCCAGAATTTAGTTTACCTTGCTGGGTGTGGTGACAGGCCTGTAAGGAGACTGAGACAGGAGGGTCACTGTGAATTTCAGTTCAGCCTGGGCTAAATAATGAGTTGAAAGCCCACCTGAACTACATAGAGAGACCTTGTCTAAAAGAACAAAGCAAGCAAATACACAGAATTTAGCTTGCTTAATACACTCACTATCTGTTTTCATCAAGTTATCACTTAGGCTATTGAATTAAATCCTCAAATATTTAAAAAGATTGTATGTGATATGTTCTGGGATTATAAACTTAAGGAACTATATATAATTTTCACATACAATATCTTATTTTACTACAAAATTTTGTACTTAAAGTTTTGCTCCATTATTTTAGATTTGACTGATGTTTAGTCTTTTGTGAGTAACCCTCTTTTTTCCTTCTAAGTCAGCCCTTTCAGGATATTTTTCTTTATCCTTAAAATTCAATTTTTTAAGGATATGTGAATGAGAGTGTCTTACCATTAATTTTTATTTAAAACTGTCTGGACTTTTTATCTGTAGAAATGTATCTTTTTAAAACTATCTACCAGATCCTTAATTTTTATTTCTTTTCCACTAGTGTTGGAATATTTAGGAATGTCTGTTCCTTTGTTCTCAAGATTTAATCTCTTTGACAATTCCTCTGTACTTGTAGAGACTTTCTCAAGCTAATATTTTACATTAGTAATTGAATCTCTTCAGTGTGAATCCTATTTTTTATATAAGTAACTTCCCACTTTTTAATATACTTTCTATTCAGATACAACTTTTATACAGTGAAGGACATATATATAGGCAATAGCCACACATATCCAGATATGAGCATTTGTAGTATTCAAAAGCCTCCCTCAAACCTTTCTTATTGGTATCTCAAAAGACACTTTTCTTCCAACCTCTGTCACCTAGTTATACCTGTCCTTGAACTTTATGGGATCAAATAATGTGTACTTTTTTAGTGTTGCTTCTACATTTGATATTTGTAAAATTCTTTCAAGTACTTATTTATAGCCATAGTTCATCAGTTTTAATTTCATTGTATTCATAACATTTCATTGTATCAGCATATCACATTTATACCTTTGTTACTTTCTTATCTGAAACACAATACCCAGTACTCACATCTTAAAGGAGGAGAATTTTATCTTGGCTCATAATCTGTAGAGGTTTCAGTCCATAGTTAGGTGGCTCCAAAGCATGGTGGAATGGCAGAGAAGAAATACCTCATGGCATGGAGGCAGGAATGAGGGGGAGCTGTCAAGGGAGGAGCTGAGAAAGGAGATATAAATTTTTGGTTCAGGCTCACAGTGACCCACCTCTTCTGAATAGGCTCCACCTCCTAACAGCAAGTCAGCTTTAATGTTTTTATAATCCAATCACTTTCTAAAGGTCCTGCCTATGATCACATGAGGATTTAGGTGGACATCTAGATATAAAACATAACATTCTGCCTCTGACCCCCAAAAGACTCTGGCACATATCTTTACACAAAATGCATCTAGTCCATCTATAAGAGTTGCCAAAGTCCAAACAGTTCTAGCATTGCTGAAAAGTCCAAATCCAAAGTCTCTCTGAAACTTAAGGCAAACTCTTAGCTGTGAGCCTCTGAAAAAATCAAAAGAAAGTTAAACACTGCCAATATACAAAGGCACAAGGTCAATATTTCCATTCCAAAAGGGAGGAAAAGGGGGATAGAAAGAAATCAGACCAAGGCAAGACCAAAACCCAGTAGGGCAAACATTAAATCCTATAATTCCATGTGAAACACCTGGGGCAAGCTGTGATCTCCAAAAACTTTGAGCAAACTCACACTTGTGGCATTGCTGGTTGTTGCAGCTCTCATGGTTTTGCTCTTGAGCTGACTTTGCTGACTCCTTGCAACTTTCCTCAACTCTTCCATATTCCTGGCTTCTCCAATTTCTTTTAGGTTCTCCACTGCACTTTCGGCTTCATGTTCCTCCTTCATGCACTGTCTTCTCAGGGGCACACTGCCTGGCCTCTTCTGCAACCTGGATGGAAGCCTTCCACAACTCTTGTGTTCTGCATTCCTGGAAAAGCCTGCCACTTGCTAGAGCAGTAGCCAGGCTTCCATGTGTCATGGTGGAAGAAGTTTCTGAGTGCCTGGATA